GGCCAGAGGGGACTGCTACACACTGGCGGGGGCCAGAGGGGACTGCTACACACTGGCGGGGGCCAGAGGGGACTGCTACACACTGGCGGGGGCCAGAGGGGACTGCTAAACACGGGAGAAGGCCACCAGGAACTGGGAAGGAGCAAAAACATGGACTATCTGTGGGTCCCTAAGGACTGGATTAGGAAACACAACGGTAGAGAGCAAGAAGTCTGTGAACCTCACTCCCACATATTTGTAAAAACGAGCGAAATTGACTATTCTTTTTTCCGGCCAAAGGTTAAGGTACCTCTACAGTAATGGATAAGGAAAGGGTGCCCTCAAGTGGCTCAGGATGGTATAAGCCCCATTTCTGCAGATTCCAGCATACCTTGTTATTGCGAAAGAGCATGCTGCCCATGAGACACTCCTCCTTACTGATGTAGGCCACATCGCCAGGTTTACTGTTCCTCTGGCAACAAGCCTCAGGCACCATGTCACCGGGGTTGATGTGTCTGAAGAGGCTGTCCTCAAAATCGTCAGGGCTGTTTACCCCACAGCAGTCAAACTGTAGGGCGGGAGGGTAAGAGAGAAGGAGAGTGGAGCATCTTCTAAGAATGTCACCAAAGACCCAGTGCCTTCCCTTACTGGCCTGTGGTTACAGCTACCTCTACCATGAAAAGAAGCCATTACTGTGGTCATGATGGCGTTCCAGGTGGATGTGAAGACGTCTGAGGTGTTGTAGCCCTGGTAGTGCCTCTTCAGCTGCTTCGTAAAGTGTTCTCGTGTCAGCTGCAGCAAGGCAGGCTGGGTAAGTCACATGCTGACAGGAAACAGACCACAGAGTGACAGCAGATGGAGCACTCACATGTTCCCGGAAAATGAAGGCCAATATGGCGGCAGCCAGCTCTGCCAGGAATATGAAGAGGATGAGCACGAAGAACTGTGGAGAGAAGGTGGACAATCAGAGGCCTGACTGCACATGCGCAGGGATTAATAGATACACGGTCCCCCCTGCCCCTCCACCCACCCTCACAGAAATGGTTTGACTCACAGAGAGCAGCAGGCACTTATTCTCACGGAGGGCGCCGCAGCAGCCCAGGAAGCCCAGCAGGAAGAGCAGGCCGCCCATGGCCAACAGCGCATAGACGCCGGAGAAGAGCAGCGGGTTGGCAGCCATGATCTCCCTCATGCCCCTGGGGTCCACCAGCACCCAGCTTCCCACTCCCAGCAGGAAACAGCCACCCAGCTGTGGAGCAAGAACACAGGGCGGGGAGGGCAACTTCAGTCATGCTGTACCTGGAACACACCTTTATTTTGGCCATGGTTATGTTAGCTGTTAGCCCCTGAAGCCTCCGGTACTGCTATATTAGCCGTTAGCACTTCCAGTCCCTGGTGCTATCTACATTAGCTGTTAGCCCCTGAAGCCTCTGGTACTGCTATATTAGCCGTTAGCACTTCCAGTCCCTGGTACTATCTACATTAGCTGTTAGCCCCTGAAGTCTCCAGTACTGCTATATTAGCCGTTAGCACTTCCAGTCCCTGGTACAGTACTATCTACATTAGCTGTTAGCCCATCAGGTCTCTCATACCAGCTGTACCTCACTGGAATTTGCATCAGGATTACAGTCTGTCATTGTGACTTAATAATGCTAACCAGCCATTTCAGTCAGTTTACTCAAATCTTCATTCCTGACTCTGGAATTTGAACTGTGAGGTAGCTGTCAGCTATGTTTAATGCGAGAGGTCTGCCCTGCTCTAAGTTGTTCAGTTTCGTAGTGGCTGTTGAGGTTTCACATTTTGGTCCGCAGTTCAGGACTTCTTGGGGAAATGACAACACGAGCAGCTGTGCAGGGTGATTAAAGTCGCGTGAGCCTGTTGATTCATTTCATTCCCTGAGAATATGGAACACTCTACACACAATTTATTGCACGGCAATAAAAACTGGTGCTACATGTCAATCTCCAGCCTCATAATGCTGTTGACGCATTTTACCTTGATGATCATTCACACACTTTCCAGCTGACTAGTTGTATTCTTTTAAGGGATTTGATGTTTTAGTTGTATTTAAAAAGTAGATCGTGTTAATCCTCATTATCATGCATTAGACACTCCTGACACTTGTGCTATGGTCAGACGCCAGGCCCTGAGCATGCTGATCTGGGGGACGGCGAGGTGACTGGGGCGGGGGGGTACTCACGAAGAGGAAGAAGTTGAAGACGAACATGAGATACTTGACGCAGCTGAAGCAGTCGCCCTCCATGGCCGTGCTCCTCGTAGACGTCTCTCCGTGCCCCTGTGGGAAGAAGCAGCAGCTGAGCATTGTGGTTCGAGGGCAGGCAGAGGGCTGCGGCAGCAGTGGCTCTCCACTCGGCTACTGACCGACCAGCAGTCGCCCAGTTCAGGCAGGGTGGTAAGGGGGGTAAGTTGGGGGCAGTGTGTGGCTCAGTGGGCTAAGCCTGTGTGCCTGTAATTGGAAGGTTGCTGGTTCAAACCCAGCCTCAGCATGTTTGCAGGTCCTTAAGCAAGGCCCTTAACCCCCAGCTCCCTGGGTGCTGTTATGAATGGCTGCCCTTCACAGACAACTTACTCCATAAAGAGCAAGTTGAGGGAGGAGTAAAGACAATTTCCCCATGGGGATTAATAAAGCATGGATTATTATTAAGCCAGGGAGGAAAGGTGATCTATTTAACTTCTTTAAAGAGGCCGTCCCTTTAAAGAGTGACACAAGCCGGAGCCGATATGAAAGTCGTAATTTAATAAATCACTGGCGTGATTGTGCTTGTTGTCGAAGCCCCCCCCCAAGCCTCTGGGAAGCATCATCACGGTGATTACAGCCTGGCCAGTCATTCACTATACTTCACTGCATTGACTGAATTTCCAAGGACGCTTCTGTATTAAAGCTGCTCATCTTTCCCACTACAAAGACATGGCGGTATATGTAGTAACAGTAAGCGGCAGGCAATTGTCTATCTGGCCAACAATATACTCTTTATAAACGTGGAATATTGGGAGGCATTTAAATGTAATAAAGGGGAGTATTTTTCTTACTGCTCTGAGCCCAGAGTGGCACCTTGGGTCACTGCTCCTCCTCCTTAATTTATCCATAAGCTACACGTTGCCTCTGGCTTCACGCATCTAAGCCCTGCAGCCCCATGGAATCTGAGAGCCAGTCGCTGCCTACAGCCGTGCTGCCACATGTCACAAAGAAACGTGTAAAGCAATTCCATTTCAAAAGCAATATTCAAAGATAATCCCATAATCCTTCTCTCAGGCTTCTCTTGAAGTCATTTTGTATCAAAATAATAATGCACTCACTCCGGTTTCCCAGTCAATCTCTTTGCGCTGTGGAGCAGGCTCGCGTCAAACCAGGCAGCATGATTACAACTCGGGTGTTTTATACATCACCTTGACAGCTAAAGCCCTACCCATGCTGGTGACCCCCCCCCCCCCCCCGGCTGTCCTGACCACAGGCAGTGAGTTGTTCTGGCTTTTAATGGTGCCTTGGCTCACTGGATACCCAGCAACCAACCAGGATTTTAATTAATTACCTCTCCAAAAGAGCTGGAGGCTGGCCGAGAGACATTAATTGAAGATCAACATGCATCGCTTCTTGCTGAATGAGTGTCAAACGGCCATTTGTGCTCCCATTTCCTGAATGCTACTGCGACACTGCATACAGTGAGACCAATTTGCACTGTACGGGGACTGGAAAGAACCTCAGACCTGAGCTTGGGCCTGCTGCCCCAGATGCAGATCTCCTTCCCATGCCTCTCTCTCGGGGAGTATCGTGGCTGAGCCCGTTTCCTTCCTTTGGAGCATTCGGCCTTTCTTGCAGGGACCACATGCTTCGGATTGTTGAGCGAGCGGGGCACGCGGTCAGCAGCAGGACAGAGTTGTGGGAACCCTGAATCTAATTTTGGCCCTGGTATAGAGCGGGGACTGCACAGCCCTGTTTCCAGATCTAATAAAGCCTGACGTAGGAAGCTGTGTTAAATAAATGAGGGCTGTCAGAGTGCGTGTAAGGGCTGCGGAGCGCATGGGGGCCACGACAGCAGGCTTTTCCCACAGCTCTTGTAAAGCACCGGCTTCAGACAGTCCTCATCGATCAGGACATGTATGTTTTTGCCACGGTTGCCGAGTTGCAAACTGCAGAAAGAAGAAAAGAAACAGCTTCTTCATCAATGCACCTGCTTGGCTTTATGCATAGAGCCTGAAACAGAACGAGTAATTGCTATTATGCCTATGCTATCATCTTCTGTGCTCTTTGTGTGCACTTCCTTGGCTTCCCAGCATAGTCATTGGCAAAAAAGATGGCTGATGTGGGCTGCGCCATCCCTGTGGGGTGGGGGTGGAGGTTGGGGGTGGGGTGAAGCCGTGAGAATGTTTCTGCTGCTCGCTGTACTTTCTGCCCCTGGGGCCGGTGCGAGGCGCGGACACACACACAAAGGACTATAACTTTCCACTGCGATAAAATGTCGCGCAGATGGGTTGTATCAAGGAAGCATTCATCTCCTTGGGAAATGGTACATCCCAAAAAAAGGCCCTGAAAGAAAGCCTGGCTCAGGGCATTTGACTGACTGAAGGAGTGCCCAGTGTTTATCCAAACCTTATTTTAAAAAAAATGGACTGTTCCATGTCAAAACGGGGGGAGACAGGCGTGTTCTCAAAGGCACTGCAATCCATTTAGTGTCCCCAATTGTAAAGATTTATGTCTTTTTGTACATATTTTTTCCCAGCCACTTTCGAAGGAATTCCCAAGTTTCATTGTCCAGTAACGCAGATGTTAGATGGAAACAATAGGTTTACAACGTTATCTTGTGCAAAACTGAAATAAAATATAAATGTAATATTTGTGAAATTTAGCACGTGTAATTTCATAACAGCTGAAAGAACAGTCTGAATACTAAATAGCTGCATTTACCCTGTTTTTAAAAACGGCATCTTTTCACTTCATTTTTTCAACAATTTATGCATAAAAGCAGATATGATTTACTTGGGTTAAATAATTTGGCACCTCCGATGGCATCTCATGATACAACACAATGACCATCACGATTTTGCCCCTACATTTACTCTACAGCCAGGATTAGAGCAGCCTGCTCTGCACTCGGCTAACTTCCCTGACCAGGATCTAGGTTAGGAGGTCTGAGGAATGGCGCCGTGCCCTTGTGCCCTAGATCTCTGTATCCCTCAGTACAGATCTGACCATACAAACAGACAGGATGATATACTGTACAATCTGCATGTGCCAAGGAACCTTGAGTAGCACAATCGTAACCCCTAAAATATACACACTGAAGTGTAAATGGCCTGAAGGAGATCAGCGAGGGAGCCTTTCATCTCCTTGCTGCCTTGATGGGCTTCACGCATATCAGTGAGGAGACCTAATTGCAGTGCCTTTTATGATTAGGCAGAGAACATACCGTAACATGCTCATTTTTCTTGAATTCTTTTGAAACGTGGCCTTACACCTCAAGAGTTGCCAGTTTAACTCCTGCCCCCAGCTATGTGTGTGTATATACAGTATGTGTGTGTGTGTGTGTGTGTGTGTGTGTGTGAGAGAGAGAGAGAGAGCACATTCTCTCAGTGTTAGAGTGGGTTTCCTCCTGCATTCCAAAGACCTGTGGTGTCTCAAATCTGTATGAGTCTGAGTGTATGAGTCTGAGTGTATGAGTCTCAGTGTCTGTCCTGTTATGGGCTGGTGTCTCTAATTGCCCATATGAGTGTGTGTCCTGTGATGTACTGCTGTCTCTAATCATCCATATTGTCCTGTGCTTCCTGGCATAGGTTCCAGGATCAAGACAACCTTGACCTGGATGGGCAGTTACAGAATATGTGTGGATTTTCTTTTCCAGTGCAACCACACAAAAACAAAAGGGCTCTTCCAGCACCAACACTCCGTCTGCAAATGAAATCCTGGTCACGAGAACAAAGCTTCCTGTTACTGAATTCGTCACTGAAGTAGACACAGTCTGATGCCGTATTTTTGAATTGCATGAAATACCAAGCAGCCGGTCGGTGCGTTATCTGAGTCTGTGGTCAAAACAATGACCCATGTGGACTGACTCTTGCTTCTCACGCTACTATACAAACCTGTTTTCCTCCTGCTTCTAAATGTAGCAGTTTGTCGTTCAATGGGACTGAACAGAGGATGATGCTTAAGGAGACTGAGACTATATAGATAATGTATATCCGATAAAATATGGCTCAGTAAAGGATTGGGGTTTAAGCTGAAACACCAGAAGGACTGGAACTGGATCTGGCATCAGGACATCAGGCCCCCTAACAAGGCAACAGAGACAGATATGAACAAAGATCCGATTTACGTGCACAAACCCCCCCAGCAGCCCAGACTGTCTGGCAGCCTGAATGTATCATCAGACAGAAGAACTAATCATGTGCCCTGAACTGTATGGAGATGTACAGTAGACACTTACACTGGCATCTCAGTCATTTAACTGAAGTGCTTGTACAGTGAGACAAATTCACAGTACTTGTTTTTCTCAGCTTTGTAACCAACGACTGGAACAAAACCAGTTTTCTGTCAGACAGATATCTATCAAAAAGATGGGAAATAAAAGAACTTGCTTTAACCAGCTAGAATTTTTTTTTTTTAGGTAGTTGACATAGTTTCTTCAGAATCGTTCACACAAAACAGCACCTCCATCACCTCCACCTCTGTCAGCTCGTCTGCAGCTGTGTGTCAAGTTCGCGGTTCCCAGCAGTAATTCCTGAACGTAAAGGCAAAAACTGTGCTTGCTGCAGGCTAGACTTCAGCACTGTCAGGGTACGAGAAGAACCAGGGGGAACTACAGGCTGCAAAACTGCAGCTTTAAGCAGAATGCTGTGGATATGCATATAGGGAGACATAAGCAGCACTTATGCTCAGCCGCAGGATCCTAATAGCCTGACCACTGAGTCATGTTCATTGTGGGTGTACAAGAACAACTCTCAGAGAGATCCAAGAAGAAGAAGAAGAAGAAGAAGAAGGATGGTATTTGACAAAGTCAGCTCAAGTCCATTCCTCCATATCCAAACTGGTGATGGGAGGGAGCTTTGAAGAAGGTGCCTCACGATCTAACGGGGTCAGAACCTCAGTCTGCCAACAGGGATGCTGATGACAGCCAACACAGTGGATCAAGATGCACCTTGACTTGCTCATTAGATGTTGACTGATTGTCAGCAGTGCTTTTCCTGTCTGTGAAATAGATTAGATGTACAATAAAGCCTAAACCAGTATATAAATACTATTCCATTCTGTTGGCAAGCACTGGGCTGTATTTGTGGTAAGACTTGTGACCATGAGAATACTAGCTACTGGCTAAGTAATGTTCTTCTGGTTTGTCCATCTCAGACTCATGTGCCACAATGTCCTTCATATGAATCCAGGAATAATGATAAACTAGGTATGAACGGAAAACTCCTCCCATGACCAACCCTCAAGCTCAGAGGACACCATATACGTATGTATTTAGAAGCCCATGTTGGGACGAAGTAAGGGAGACAGGAAAGCAGCTGCACATGTGTGGTTTCTGCAGGTGGACCGAGGATACTAGGGAATGATGGTCCAGGAATCCCATAATAGTCTACTGAAGCACCCCCTACCCCCCGCACGATCCTCATTAGGAAGAACAGCTAGAAGAAGGATGGCTGGATAAACTGCCCATAGTGCATATCTGTGTCTGAGCCTGTGTGTCTGTGTCTGTGTCTGTTATGTATATATTACATTATGGGGACCAAATGTCTTCACAATGCCATCTTTTTTTTTTCGGTCCCCACAAGGGGAAACTGAATCTTATTAAAATCTGTGACTGCAATAATCCATCCGTCCTCTGCATCTGCTTGTCCTATTCGGGGTTGCAGGGGGGGGTCGGAGCCTATCCCAGAGGCTACAAGCGCAAGGCAGGGAACAACCCCAGATGGGGCACCAACCCATCACAGGGCACACTCACACCATTCACACCTACAGTAGGGGCAATTTAGCAACCCCAATTAGCCTCAGTATGTTTTGGGAATGTGTGTGGGGGAGAACATGCAAAGTCCACACATATAGAACCCCAGTGGAAACATGAACCCAGACCCCGGGGTTGTGATGGCATGGTGGCATGCCAACCACTGCACCACCATGCCACCTCTGGCTGCAATCAAAAAACTAAAAATGGCAAAAGTCTTCTTGTTCAGTTACTTATGGTTAAGGTTAGGGCTGGGTGGGGGTTAAGGTCGTCGTTGTTGCTATTAGGGTTTGGACTGACATCCTGTGTCCATCCAAGCTTTTTTAAATTGCCTGCAGTGTGTGATTATGGCTGATGCTGCCTGAATAGAGTTCCGCCCCCCCCCCCCGTGACCCAGTATTGGGTAAGTCTTTACACCATGGCTTTCGAATGGCTATTGTGTTCTGCTTGATGTTTGCAGTTCCCACACAGTGAAACTGGACACCATAATTAACAGCATACATGACTGATTAAGAAAATTTTTACCCCTTTCCCAAGACAGCCTAGTCTCTTTGTTCTCTGCAATAGTCAGTATTTCATAATATTTTGCCATTTCTCTGAGAAACTGTCCTAACTTATTTGACAGCAAATAAAATATATCACTTTAGTTTTTTAAAATTAGGTCTTCATACATTTTAATCCTATTTAATGATCTAAGTATGACCTGCAGTAAACTGGCATCCTGTCGAGGGAGTTTCCCTGCCTTGTGCCCTGTGCCCTATAACCTAGGCAGCCCCGAACTGGACAGGTGGCTAGAGCAGTGGTCCTCAACCTCTGTTGCACCGCAACCCAATTTTTACCATGCCAGCTCAGATGCAACCCCATGTCAAGTATAGGTTCAAATTATCGCTATGATCATGCATGCAGTGCACTCTGCAATTTGCGCCAATCAACGCCTATCACACAAACTTGATTGGATGTGCCAGTGAATTTTAAATTAAGCATCTGTGGTTTGGTTTTTTGGATTGGTTGAGTGTTCACTAGTTTTGCCCTACGCAGTTGCAGGCACAAAATCTGTTTATATAGGTTAATTGTAGGATTTGGGCTGGGAAATCTGATCGTGGATCAGCATAGGAACTTGTTGGTTTTAAAATGCTTACATTTCCCACTCTGCCTCGTGACCCTGTCAGAACTTGCTGCGACCCTTTGGGTTGAGATTCGCTAGATGGACTGATGGAGGGACACTCAACATACAAGCCTGTTTCCAAAAACGCTGGGATGCTGTGTGAAATGTAACTAAGAACAGAATGCAATGATTTGCAAATCATATAAACTCATATTTAATTATAAATACATAGAACAAAGACAACAGACATCAAATGTTGAAACTGCTAAATTTTATTGTTTTATGACTAATATATGCTCAGTTTGAATTTGATGGATGCAACATGTTTCAAAAAAGTTGAGACATGGGCAACAAAAGCCTGAAAAGTTGTGTAATGCTAAAACAAGACAACAGGTCAGTAAGATGACTGGGTATAAAAAGAGCCCCCAGAGAACCAGAGACTCTGTGCAGTGAAGATGGGGAGAGCTTCAGCACTCCATGAAAGACTGCCTGGGCAAATAGTGCAAGAATTTAAGAATAATGTTCCTCAATGTGATATTGCAAAGAATTTGGGAATTTCATCATGTACAGTACATGATATCATTAAAAGATTCAGAGAATCACTAGAAATTTCTGTATGCAAGGGACAAGGCCACGAACCAATACTGCATAGCAGTGATCTTTGGGTCCTTAGACAGCACTGCATTAAAGTGCCAGTGTGTGGCTCAGTGGGCTAAACCTCTGTGCCTCGCATCAGAAGGTTGCCAGTTCAAGCCTGGCTTCAGCACATTTGTGGCTTGTTAACCCCTCAGCTCCCTGGGCGGCTGCCCTTTGCAGCCAGCTTGCTCTTACCTACTGAGAGTAAGTTGGGGGAAAAGGGAAATTTCCCCATGGGGGTGAATTACTATTATACAGCCGCAATTTACTGTATAATGCAGGGATGGGCGATCTTATCTGCAAAGGGCCGGTGTGTATGCAGGTTTTTAGGATAACCTTTAGGTCAGCTGTTCAAACCCAGGTGTGAGGACTCTTCAGCCAATCAGTCCTTTAATTAATAATCTACTTAGGGAGTTGCAGCGAAAACCCGCATACACAGTGGCTCTTTCTGGATACGATTGCCCATCCCTGGTATAATAGATCATCAGTACTTCTACTAATCTCCATGCCTACAGCAGCTGTGTATGAGAAGAAAGTTAAAATGTAAATATACAGTAGGAGACTGGCACACATTCTGGAGAATTACAGCTGCTGGCACTGTACCAAATGTCTCCATATCAGTCTGTAGCATTCAAGCAGAGCTCACGTTTTGAACACTGCCCAAAAGATACAACAGCTGAAACCATGACACAAGCTTGAAACGTTACATATTGCCTCTATGGCTCTGAGGCCATGGTCATCTCAGATTCCTCTATGACAGTTTCATGTATTTACGTATTTGGAGAGGTTTACTGCTGACCTTGACTCTGAAGGTCTAGTGGTGCTGTTCTTAAAATCTACAGACTATAAAGCTCGTAAAAACAAAAGTGTCTGCAGTGGAGCACTGGGGAACAGCACAAGGCAATGGATGCACACAGGTTGTGGCTGCATTACTACCAAAGGGAAAATCCATAAGATCTGCATGATATAATCAAACACAAGCACTTAGCTTCGCCTTTCAAAACTAATAAAAGACAGAAGCATTTCACATCAACAGCCCTGTTCTCACATGTCATGTATGAGTTGAAAATTGGATTCTAAGCCAAGCAACAAACACATAATTAAATAATGAAAACCACCGTACCATGTGTACCTGTAAAACTCTCTTCTTTCAGAGGCAACGTGGGAGACCTTCTTCTTCGCCTGGGCCCCACAGGCCTTCACATCAGCTGTGGGAGGAGAGAGACAGATGGCAGTGAGTGCTGAATCACCGCCAGCATAGCAGAGACGCTCCGCGCTTAAGGTCCACCGCCCTTAATGTAAGCCCGGCAACGCAGACAGCAGCCATTTCCATGACGAGCGATGGAAATTCCTTTCATATGCTTCTCCTGTCTCATTCACTATACAGATAGCATTGGAAATGGCAGGGAAACATCACAACTGTCAAATGTAATTGTAGCCATACCACAGCAACTCTGCAAGTAGGTGAAATATATATGGTTACCTCTAGGTACTATGTTTTTTTTCCACTGTGGATAATTAAAATCCATTTCCACAGTTGCCTTGCGTTCATACTATATAATCGGTGCATATTTACATCTGAATTAATGAGTCACTTATCCCAAACAAAAGGGCCTGTTATTTAGGTGGCGCTGACTCTTACAATCATTGCAGCTGTTCTACAGGGCAGTATCCATTTTCTAAAATGTTTCATTATAACAGAAGTGCAATAGTTCCTTGTTCGCATGTCAGTGTAAACCATTTCTCTTGAAAGGAAAGCTATGAATTTAGACAGAGAATGAGCCAGTTTACTGCCCAGCTGGGGCACCGCTCTTGTAAATTTGACAGCTTCACCCGAAACAGCTCAGAAAATCATTAAGTGCTCTTGGGCACCTGCCCTTTTCGTTTTGACAGCATGCCATTTCATAGACTGTTCCAGGTGAGCCACTCTTAATATCCAGCAGAAGTCTCCCTCCTGGGAGATAAATCTGCGATCTCCTGGCCAGTCCCCTTATTTCACAGTCATAATCGCACAAGGCTTTTTCTTTTACTAAAGAGAAATGCTACCCGGCATCCTCTGGGGGCATCTCACATAGCTAACATTTTTTTAAAAATGGGAAACATTACACTGTCCCCAACAGAAGACAAAGAACACTCGATTTCATACAGGGTTCTAATATTTTTCTATTAGTACATTGCTGGTCTCATTTGTCACCGTATGCGGGACGAAGGACTTGAAAGCAGCCGTTACACAAAAGTGGTTATATTAAGTGATCTGGAGCAGGGAAACAAAGGAGAACACGAGGGGTCAAATCAAGAAGGCAAGTATGAGGAAGGACACAGGCAGACGGGAGGAGCAACGTCAGTGAATGGTATTTAAATACAAAGACTAATGAGAGGTAACAAGCAACATGTGTGGCTCATCTGGGTCATGATCTATAGGGGAGAGAGGAGGGTCAGGCGGACATGACAGGCAGGATGTAACAACATTCAGTTTCCCGACAATAAATGCATGATACGCTTTGCATTAACTGCACTTTCATTATGCATTCATAGACAATTCATAAGCAGCATGTAAGTATGCTTCAACATCCTAACATAGCTTAGTAGCTTAAATATAGATTAATAACAAATACTATATTGTATTAATGTTCGTTATTATCATATAATGTTTGCTATTAAGGTATAATGTATATACAATGTTTAAGTTTGAGGTCTAATTACATGCTCCTTACAAATGTTCTATGAATGTGCAGTTAATGTAAAGCTTTACACAGTAAAATGCTTCACATAAATTCATTTATATTCTTGGAAGGCTATCCTATCCAATCTAATGTTATTTAACAAATTCCAAATGATGACACAAACATTTATGGAGACTGACTAGAGAAGTCGCCATCAAACACCCTTCTGAAGATATACGATTGCAGGCGACACCCAGTGCTAAAGAAGATGCAGCCAGAGCAGCGATCAGGGCAGCATCTGGCCATTTGACCACTATATCCTTTCCCTGGGCTTGCGGGCCTCCAGCACACAGACATGCTGCCTCAGTTGGCCTTGGCGCGGCTCAGTGTGGGGGGAGTCAGCAGAGTGAGGCGTCAGCTGGGGACGTGTGGAAGCATCTCTCCAGGAGGAAGCATCTCCCCCCCGGTCTTCGCGCACTTCCCTGTGGGGGAGTTCTGAGGGAAGACGCGACAGCCAACAAACGACTTACTGCCAATAAACAAGTATTCGCTGGTGCTGGATCCTTCAGTATGTTCTAGGTTGCTTAGTGATGCTATTATTGACGTCCTGGCTGCGAATCAGACTGTTTTTTTTTTCGACTCACAACAGCAGGCCAGAAAAATCAGACGCATCAGGTTTCCAGTAACTCTGGCTGCCCCTGCCTTATGTATCCTCTTATGAAAAACATTCCTGTCAACACACGGTGTAATAGTTTTGCCCACAGACAAGCCACATAGGCTTAAATGAGTTACGTAACCGTTCTACCCATCAGTCACATCAAACAACAAAGGTCATATGTGACAAACTACTTCTACACTTCTGAAGTCACATGACCACTGCCCTTCAATATATGTGGATTCTGCACCAAATGTTCACTGTGCCTACATACCTCATCTGCCCTTATCCATTAAAAACATGAGTCAGTTCTTGGGCTTTGTTATTACTGCATTTTCGGAAACAGGCCTACAGCTCTGGGCTCCAGCAAGACTAACACAGGATCACTTGCATGCAGAAGCGGTTCAGGTCAGACCCTTGTATCATGCATGACCTCATGTGATCCATGGCCAGTGTAAAAAGGCCTCTGATTCTGATTTGTGGTGCCTACAGCCATCTACTCAAATAGCTTTATGTACCATATGGAGTTTTTAATGTTTTGCCTTCAAAAAACCGGTGTTTGGCTGTCTGAGCACCGCAGGGATCTGATCCATGGAACAAACATTCCAAATGAAGGAAAATGGTCCTCTCATATGTCAAGTGAGAAAACAAAATTTCGAACTCTCTGCTCTGCCAGTGACACATGACTACATTGAGAGCGGTATAAAAACTTCCAGACCGTATTTCAGGGGCACTGAAGTGGTGTGAAAGTAAAGTAAGGAACTCCTTCCCATCTCTCTTCCTGGTCCTCCTTTGTCCCTGAGGCCCAATATATACCTCCTCCACCACCCTTCCCCCCACCCGGGGCAATCAGGTCTTTGAAGTGGTACAATTAAGGAGGATGAGACCTAGAGAGACCTGTAGGATCGCTGGGAGAGAATGCACTCAGAGGGACAGGGAAGGCAGAGAAGACTCCTGGGACTCAATTAGAGAAAATTTTGTACGAAGATAGTTGCAATGAATCGGCAATGAGGGTTCGGGGCATCGCGAAAGCTCCCTGGTCCCTTTATAGCATGCAGAGCAGGACAGGAGGCAGGCAGACTCTGACCCAATTTAAAAGCCCTGAAATGATGCTCTCTGTATATATGGATGCAATCGTTCCTGCCTTCTTAATTAAAGTCTCTTTTGCATACGCGAGTCAGAACATTAAAGAAATTCTGACACTGATGAAGAGGACAGGAAAAAAGACCTAGAATAGTACAAATCTGAGCTGAACTGAGTTGTTGTATAAAAAAAACAGAAGGAAGATATTTCAGCAGGATGATATAAAGTCTTCCTGGTTTCAGGTCACAATCACCATGAGCTGTCAGGCAGCTGAGAGGAAAGGGTTGCGCGAAACCTGGCCGACTGCACTGCAAACTAAATGTTCAGCAAATTTCAATTCCTCATCGCCATTTATTTGACTGGCAGCCAGTCAGAAAAACACACTGCCATTTTGCACAATCATCTACTGCAGTCTGACGGTCCAAGAAAAGCAAAGTTCACTAACCAGTTCTCTGTCACGGTGCCATTTCTGTTTCTCATTGTGCCGGGGATTACAACACTCATAAGTACAGAAATTAAAATCTGGCTGAACTTCACAGGGATGGTGACCATTAAAATGTGGTAGATACGTATCCCCTCACCCACGGCAACCTCATCCGCACAACTGGGCACATGCACAACTATCATTATTTGTAGCATAACAGTTCACTATCAATGGTTTGGTCTAGGCTATGTAGTTATTTATGACTTTACTGCAGCAAAGTCATTTATGATAAAAAAAGGCTTTTTAGGATGGTACATTTAAGTTTATGACAAAATATACAGTTAGGTCCATATATATTTGGACACTGACACAAGTTTTACTATTTTACCTGTTCACTGAAATATATCCCAATTGAAGTTATACAATGGGCATGGACATAAAGTGCAGACTCTCTCTTCCACATTCAAACTGGATGAAGGGTTTAGGAGTTTCAGCTGGTTAACATGTGCCACCCTCTTTTTAAAGGGGCCAAAAGTAACTGGACATTTCACTTACAGTAAAAGCTATTTCATGGACAGGTGTGGGCAATTCCTTCGTTCTTTCATTATGAATTAAGCAGATAAAAGGCCTGGAGTTGATCTGAGGTGTCTTGTTTGCATTTGGAAGATTGAGGTGTGAACATACAACATGCGGTCAAAGGAATTCAGCATGCAGGTGAAACAGGCCATCCTTAGGCTGCAAAAACAGAAAGAAACTATTTGAGAAATTGCCACAACATTAGGAGTGGCAAAATCCACAGTTTGGTACATCCTGAGAAAGAAAGAAAGAAAGAAAGAAAGCATTGGTGAACTCAGCAACGCAAAAAGCCCTGGACGTCCACGGACGACAACAGTGGTGGATGATCACAGAATCATTTCCACGGTGAAGAGAAACCCCTTCGCAACAGCCACCCAAGTGAACAACACTCTCCAGGAGGTAGGCGTATCAATATCCAAGTCTACCATAAAGGGAAGACTGCATGAAAGCAAGATGCAAGCCACTCATAAGCATTAAGAATAGAAAGGCTAGATTGGACTTTGCAATAAAACATCTAAAAAAGCCAGCACAGTTCTGGAACAGCATTCTTTGGACAGATGAAACCAAGATCAACCTGTATCAGAATGATGGAAAGAAGAAAAGTATGGAGAAGGGCTGGAACAGCTTATGATCCAAAGAACACTGCATCATCTGTAAAACATGGTGGAGGCAGTGTGATGGCTTGGGCGTGCATGGCTGCCAGTGGCACTGGGTCTTTAGTGTTTCTTGATGTGACACAGGATGGAAGCAGCCGAATGAATGCTGAGGTGTTCAGAGACATCATGTCTGCTCAAATCCAGCCAAATG